ACACTCTACTTTCTCAAGATTTTCTCAAAATACAATGATGAAGAATGGAAACCTTGAAAACCTCAATACAAACTCTGACTTCGCAAAAAAAAATTGTCAGTAACAAGGACTCGAAGTTTTAATTCTTCGGGAAGATTCTATGGATTAATTTCATCTAGAGAGTTATCAACAGATTCAAATGAAAGATTTCATTGTCACAATCTCTCAAAAATTATGTCATAAAAATCCTTATCTTTTATAACTCCACAAGATTCTAGCTTATGAAAACTGTCATTCTCAATCTGTAAACACTGTCCTGTAAAAAAAGCCTGGAATTTCATCCAACCAGGAAAAAAACTTTCAAAAATTTACTCTCTGAAAAAATATGTTTACTGAGTACAGATCTGAATCGAATAGAAGCTTTGATACCATTTCTTAACGTAAAACCTAAAGCCAAGTACGAATCACACGAGACACTCATATAACGTGATTCATCCTCAAGGCCTACGTCCACGGTTGAAACACGCAAGAAGGTTTATTGACAAGTGAATACACAATACTACTTCCAAAGAAGCCTTGGCCTTGGTGGTATATTTATACCCAAAGCCAACGACACACCTAGCTATAAATAGCTATAACCTGAGGTTACTACTTAACCGAAATTAACCTCAACAATTTAAAAATAATTTCATTATGCTTAACTTTTTAAATAAAAATATCAAATTTTTATGATAAATTTACAAACAAAACATGTTTTTATGACTTAGCTTTTGGTTTGTGCTTTAAACTCATGACTATAAGTGCAATATTGCAAATCTCATGAATTTTGGAATTTCATTTGGTATTTTAAGTCTTCTCAAAATTCATTCAAATTTTGAAATATAGATCAAAGTTGAAATTAAAATTAAATTTGTAAAAAAAAATTTAACCATTGATTCAAACAATATGAACAATTGCTTTGAGTGTACATTCTAGCTTTAACTGTAAAGGCTCACATGATGCTAAAAATTTGTTTAATTATGGGTGAATTGTGATTTATTTTCTACTAGTATCATAAAATGAAGCTTAGATTTCATAATTATTGTAACATGATATGAAAATTTTGTTTATGACTACCATTGCTGTTAAAGTTTAATATTATTTCAAAAAAAATTTAAGATTTTAAATCATTTATGATTTCTTGATTGATATTAAGATTAAATTTAAAACCTAATAAAAATTATGCAAAAGTCTGTTAAGAAATCTTCATTTAATAGAAATTAGAAAAACTTTATGTAGTTATGATACGTAAATTCCTTTTACTACATTTGAAAACATTTCAATTCTCAAAAGAAGTATTATTACTGAAATTTTATAATTATAAATTTATTTAAGGTGTTGAGATCATTATCAGTAAGATGTCTATGATTTTTTGGGAAACTAAATTGATGTGATATTCACATCTCGATAAAAATTAAAATTTGAAATATTTTTTAATTTCTTAATATATACTTTTCTCACATAATTTGTATTTTTTTCATAAAGAAATTTTTTAATTGAACTGATAATCATGCTTTAAAATCTCACTGATGATTACATTGAATCCTTATATCAAATTAGAAAATTTAAATATATGACACATATAATTTTCTAAAAAAATTCTACAGATATTCATTCATTCTCTTTTCATTTCATTTTCACTCCATTTTGATGATATAAGTTGCATTCAATTGATGTTTTAAATATTTAATTATGTTCTGCAACATGATATTGAATAATATCTTTTATTTTCACATAGATGATATGATATATTATATCTTCTGAAATTATATATGATGAGAAAAAAACTACATTCAATAAAAACATAATATGTCTCATGATATAATATGGTTAATTTTAAAAGAGTTTAATCTTTTTATCTATACAAAAAATATATTTTTTTTCAAAACAATTTTTTTGTAGATAATTGAATTCTTTTTTAATTGTTATTACTTGTATTATATTGGTTACGATTATGTGAACTATATCATAATTGCAATTGAGTATTTTATTTATTTATATTCTGTTTTCATATTTATATTTAAATACACTAAAAAATTACATTAAGCTTATATGATGCTTTGATATATATTTAAGTCTTATAAGAATATAAAAATATCAATTGGTTAATAAATTAAATAAATTACATGTCTTGTTATACTCTATCTTTAAACTCTTTCAGTTCCAAACAATTTTTTTACATGCTTCATAATCTTGAGAATTGTGTCTTAATATATTGAAATTTTTTAGCTTCTAGAATATATTTTAATGGCATTGATGGAAAAAAAAATTTATTATCAACAATCTAGAAAAAATTCGCCAAATTTAAACTTTTTCAAATGGATGATGTAGATTTCACATCCTGATCAAATGCATAATCTGAGTGCACAATCCTTTGCTCCCTCTCACAATTATATTTTTTCACAATTCGATTGCAAGTGTAAATGGGACTTGACTCGATAAAAAGCCAAGAATACCATTCTGATCCTCGACCATGACTGACCCTGTAATTCTGGTCTTGAGACCAATGTGGTAATAAAACACAAATTATCTTCACAACTTAAATCATCATATCATTTGGTAAAATGCAACAATGTATGATTATCATTACTTCAGGAATATCTTATTTATACAATATAATTTTCATTCACTTATACTCATATGACAAGCACTATTTCTACGGTACTATGAAATTCATATTTAATATACAAATCTCATGTCATGATTCTTGATGAAAACACAAAAGCAAAAACACAGAGCTAATGCTCATAGGAAGTATGATAAGTAGACAAACATAAACTAATTTTTGAAAATGATTCCTTTCCTAAGGATGTATGTGGATGATATGAATGGCAATTTTATATTCGTTAAAAAAAATCTAATATAAGTGAATAAATATACAACCTTGCAAAAATTTTACATCAAGACACTATGCAGCTATAACTGCATAAAAATTATAATTTTCGAACATACTTTTCCTTCTCAAAAAGAGAGCATATGATCGTAACTTGGCTTTGTTGGAATTCATTTTCTTCTACTTCGGGCTTCCATAATTTCAATTACTAAACCAACTGGAATCTGAACTGTGATTCAGTTTGAGTCTGACTAGAATCGAATTGACTTTTTTTCCATAGTTTACTATCCTACCTTTTTGATTGGTTTTTCGTGCAGAAGCAAACTCTCCAAATTTATGACCAGCCATTACTTCAGTAGTCTCTAAACCGACAAGATTTTTTTCGTTCTAAATTTGTGATGTTGTGCAAATTTTCGTTTGGCGTCTCTTCCTCAGCACGATTTTTTTTTCCCCTTGAATAGGACGTCTTGTAGGATTTAGAAATGGCCAAGAATTTAACCAAATTCAATATTTGGATATTGAATTACTGTCGAAGAATTTACCAAGTGGTGGTAATGTCAACTTCACCGTTGGAAAGTGTTTATAGTTTGATTTTCTGTTGATATGACAGATTGGCTGAACGTTGTTTGCAAATATGGGCGACTATCTCTTCTCAGAGCTCGTCTAAAATTCCCTTTCCTCCACTGAATATTGTTGTAGCCAAAGGGGGTTCGAAGTCCTACAGCCTTCGGGCTAAGAAGCACGATCTCGGAGAAAGTCAAGCCGAAAGAAAAAGTCTTCATTTCAGAAATAAACTCAAATTTGCAAAGTCTAAAAACAAATCCATAGATTCAGGCAAAAAAATACATAAATACATCTATGAAAACTATAATTTTTTTAAGAATGGAACGAATTATATTATACAAGACACATCTTTTACAAAAAAGGGTCAGTGGAAGCACATAGGCATGATCACGTCATGGCCTCAGCAGGCTAGCTTTGGGCTAATCGGCTATTGGCGGAAGAAAGATTTTTTTTATAATTTCGGCCGAATCGGGCAAAATAATCAACCGAAAACGCAGACTCGATCCGAAAACTCGGACCGATCCGAGTTTTCGGATCGTTTTCGGCCTCGGATATCGGTGACAACATTTATCTGTGACCCGGTTAGCCGATGGCTAGCCGGCTGTAGAATAAGCTAGCCGGCTAACAAAATATATGAGCCGGTTAGCCGTTGGCCGAGACGTGAGCATCCGTAGAAGCACAAGGGGAAGCGTTTATGAACTGGGGACCGGCCGACCGTATTTAAAGTGCACCGGAAGCGCAGAGAAGCACTAAGAATGTCCGGCACCAGCAAGGAGACGACAGAAGAGACGGCGACTCCTGCGCTTTTAGGGTTGAAGGCTGGCCAAAGAGTCCGAAGCGGTGAAGGAAGTGTTAGCAGATGCCGCCTTTTGCTCGCTGCGTACAGTCATTGCGGCGGCGGCGGCGCTGCTGCTGCTGTGCATGCGAGCGAGAAGAGGCAGCAGGGACGAGCACGAGCAATGTGTCCTTCGGAGCATCTTCGGGCGCGTGGAATCGGAGATTCAAGCGCGCGCGGCATTAAGATCTTCTGGTACAGCGTATATAATATTCCATGACGAACGTGTGTGTGTCTACGATAAAACGGAACGGCCCGAAAGCACTGCCAGCAGGCCCCGGCCGCCCCCACTCCGGGCCCCCCTCCCCCCCGGCCGTTTGCATTAGACGAGCATCCATTCGACGCTGACCGTGGCATGAGATCAGCACCGGTCCACCGCAAGGCGAAGCAGGAAATTCCGCACCAGAGTCAACACTAGATCCGCCCACCACCACCACCCTCGGAATGTGGCTTGTGGGGAACATTCTCGCTCGAGCGCAACTGCACTGTCGTCCTCGTGTCCTCCTCTGTCCGCTTCCACTGCTGCCGCCAAGGTCGCGAGTGATCGCCGAGCACAAAAAGGGGGCGGCCTGATCAAAGTGCTGTGACACAGCGGAATTGAGCTGGAGCAGGAGCTGGAGCAGGAGAGGGAGAAGGCGAAGGAGTGGGGGTGAGAACATGGGTCCTCATTCGAAGATACCGGAGCCCCGGTGTGGGCCAATTCCTTCTGTTGTGTGCGGGATTGATTGCCGCTGACGAGTGATTTCTTGTGTTCAGCGACAATGGTAGGAGGTAGAAGATGCCAGGCCTGCCAGTATTGTCCGTGTCGAGCCATCGCTGTCCATCGCGTGTGCCCACTGCACGTCTGGCATCTTCCGCTTCCGACCTTTGATGCGAGACAAATGCTCTGAGGGGCCTGACGAACTTCAGCCGCTGGTGCTGCCAACGGTAACCAGCGCGCGATGCGTATCCAACTGTAAGTATCGAATCGCTTGCCACAGCTTTGGTCTTCTGATTGTCGAATTCTTATGAGATCGAACGATTACCGCCAATGGTTGAGAACACACGTATGTTATAATTACAGTGTCAGAGTTTGAGGCCCATCAAGGTTGCAGGCAAGAGAGCTCAGACGCGGTTCTCCGCGTCCGATTCTTCTTGACCCTCGGCGATTTGGAAAGGAAAACCAATCTAGCCCTTTCCGTCGATATTTGTGTGTCAGAAACAGTAATGGTTCAGCTTTGAAACATTTAGTCATGATCCTAGAATTTCGAGGTGGATACAATCACAGACGTCCTGTAAGGCCTCGCCTTTCTTCAGCATTGACGGCTACTATGAGCTTTAGGTTCTACCTCTTTGAGAATCTGCTACAGAATCCGAAGGGTTTTGTAAGTAAAGGCAGTTCAGAACTACTGGACGCCGCTTTCAATTCAGTTTGCGAATGCCTGATCATTCCTTCGGATTGCTATTCGAGGCCTTACGGAAGGAAAGGGACCCTTTACGAGTTCGTCTCCCCCTTTCTTATCAAGCTACGGACTTTCCTACTGTGATAGAACCTTTGTTCTCTATACATGAAGGAAGTCCTTAACTAGTACCTTTGAGATTCGGGAGGCTGCCCTACACCTCCGTCCTTCACGAGTGTGGCCTTGCGAGAATGCCATCAAAGTCTTGTCGATCTGATGGTAAACCAGCGAGGCTACAACATCTTCTATCACCGACCCATCTAAGATATGAATTTCAAGTTAATAGTCGTCTTGGAAGGGCAATGAAGGCACATGACCATGTACACGCTCCTCATTAGAGCCCACGGTTTCCTTTGGCAATTTTCAGCCCTCTGTTAATTTTGTTCCACAGCTGCCTTCACCTCAGTTCGATTTAGCATGATTGGGAATACTTTTTTTTCAGATACTTACAAACGCGTGCCTCGAGATGAGCCTGGCCATTTCTAACTTCAGCCCCTAAACTGCACGACACCGCTCCGCACCTTCGGCTCGCCGTCCGTCCAGTTCTGATCATGCCTGACATTATCGTGAATTTACTGGAACCAGCCATCCAGTTCGAATACACCGCTTCTGATGTCGCTGTCGCTGAAGTATTCTCATCTCGTCCTTCCATTTGCTACAAGGGCGGGAGCGAATGTTCAGTCATCTGGCTGATACGACCCATCAGTTAAACCAAGGTACTAAGTCTTACGTTTCAAGTCCTTGAACCAGAACATTGACTGTATTGGAGAATGCCCCGAATGTGTATGCCCAATAGCTTCTTCTGGTATCAATCCAAGTGAAAGGAGCTGAAGCCTCTGTCAGGCACTGCCCACAAACCAAACTAATCGCCTTAGGCAGACGAGTAACTGGAAGCTTTAATGAACATCATTTGCGACAGACACGGACTTAAGGTACTCAGTCACAGCAAGTAGAAGAAGCTCTATCCGAGAAAAATCTCACACAGAATGATGTGAACAAAAACGCACGTCAAAGCAAAGTCCAGCCTTATCAAACCCGAAATTTGACAACATGAATATCTTCCAACAACGATGAGTCACAACCAGTGCTTGAGCTCTTGTTCAAGTCTGTATTCTCGGATTCTACATCCAGCTCCTCACATGCTCTTATGGTCGGACAGGCGACAATAAATGCGACTTCAAAGCCATTGCTGTCGCCAAGATCCGCCGGAACGAATGCTCTACCCGCACTAACTTGGGTAACAAGCTCAGGAAATATTTTCTGCAGCCTTTTGATTGTACTCAGAGCTTCCTCGATATTTTCTTCAGTCGCACACTCTTTGAACTTCAATACTCCAACATGGGCGGCTCTGTACGTATCAGATGCAACTAATGAGCCCTGAGGTTGGCCTTCCCAGTTGAGAATCAAAAGGTCGTCATTCACGTTCGATGTCATGATCCCTTCTACATAATACTCATGAGCCTCGTATGCTTCCAGGGCTGCCATGTCTACAAACCGTGCGTGCAAAGCGAAAGTATAAGTTTCTCCTACTAGTGGTATGGCCAAACCCACGTGCAGACTCACCACTCCATCCAGAGACCTTATCAGGTGGATCTTTTCCAATAAGTCATCCCAATCCTCTACGGACATGCCTTCATTCAGTTTTGCCAGTACCAAGTGTTCAACCACCGATGGCCTCTTTGAGACATGCATTGTAGACGTCCCTGGTCCTCGGCCCTCGCTCAACAGTCCTCGAACTGCCTGACAAGCTCAGCTGTGTCCAAAGTTCATCTAAGCATGCAGGACGCTCTTGCCCACGAGGAAATGTTGTTCGCGTTCTCGACTAACAAAGCAACAGCGACTCGAACCCCGATCATGAGAGTGCCATGTCTGAGTCGCCCCAAGAGCTCTCACTTGGATTCTATTTCCACATAGAGAGGCCGAGGGAAAGGAAGCAGTCACAATGCCTCGACAAGCATGCCAGCCAACACTGTCATCGGCCACCTAAACATGTCGTGCCGTCAAACTCAGGGGTGCAGCTTCGCAAAAGGTTGACGTTGTAGGATTGTCGAGGGAAGATCGAGGAGATCGTCCAACAATTCACTGGAATGGATTGGAAACGTACTGTGGAATGTTCTACGTGTCCAACGAGGGGAAAGGTGTAGACCTCGGAAATCTTGACTCTCAGGAAGGTCAATTTCAGTTCTGCAAAGAAGCGAAGACTGGAGGCGACACCATCATGATATACGTGTATAGATTATCAGAAAAGGGTTCGGTCATGAACCACAACCCCAAATGCGGGAGAACTGTAAACCTCCCGAGTTAGGGAATTGGCGACATTCCTACAACTGGAAGCATACGTAGGAATCTGCGGTCTGCAATCAATGACAGGCACTTTTGCAGTCGCATTTACAACTGGAGAGAAAGCTTCACACACTCTGTTCCGGAATCCAAGGTTCTTGTTGCACTCGAGAGCTTTCGTGCGCTCGTAAGCATATCATCTGGGATCAAGTAGCACAGGCAGCTGAGGCAGATTATGTAAGACTAGGTACAGAAGAAAAATTCCCACCTGCTTCGTTGGCCACAGTGCATATGTACAACTGTAACTTGTATCGACAGTTCAGCATCAGCCAAATTTATAGTACACCGATTCTCTCCTGTACTGGTCAACGTGTCTCGAATGTGATGGTCATGGGCATTACGTTGAGCAATTCTATTCTACCAAAGGTCAAAGTTCTGTGAATCATGCGCGGTTATCGCCTTGAGGAGAGAGAGCCTTCCCGCAGAATGAGTACTTGCGATTTGAGCAATCCTCAATTGGGTGGAAACTGAACTTTGTGGTCTACAGGTCGCGGCGTAGTCGGAAACTGTTGCGTCCTAGCAGCTGTCAGACCACTGCAGCAGTAGAGGGCCCTGGACAGTCAAACTGCTCAGGATTTGGTAGACTGAACGTGGAACCAGTGGAATATGCATTGCTGGCTGCCGATATGCGCAACGTTGGGCCCGAAACCTTTCGGACATTCACCCATCTGTAGTACGATGAGTTATGAAGAATTGTTCGTAAAACACATCTCCCATCTCTTCGTGTTGGCCTTTGTATGGTATATCAGCCTGTATGCTTGTGACCAGAAGGTTCAAAGCGCCAGATCTAGCAGCTGTCGCTGGTTCTTAATTTCCACCCTAGATGGCAATTTTCAGATCCTCATTATATCCCTCCATGCACGTCATACAGAGACGTCCACCATATTCATTGCTGTGACTGAGACAGCGTAAGACTGCCCAAAATCAACCACAATTTTGTGAGAGAATGTGGTTGTTTAATTGAGACATCATGTTTACGGATATATGTCCATAATTATATACAATCTCGTGTCCTTTCTACAAAGCTACTGTGACTCTTGATACATTTCCAATTGTGTCCAGTCTGTAAAATATTGTTTTGAGTCCACTAGCGTAGGTGGTTAAATAATATCAAGCTGGGTGGTCCGCTATTGCACCTTCCAAAGTTTTTGTATCGAGCGAGAGTTATGGACTCCTTCCTTTTCTCATGGCACAATATTGTGCACCCTTTCATGACACCCCACAATTTTAGTTCCATAACTAATTGTACATCAAGATACGGATTCGCTGATCGCCTGTTATGAAAGATTGTCATATATGTAGAACTAGGATCAAAAGTGGCTCTTTTGCTGACATTTGAGAATCTAGCATTTGATCTGAAAGTTTCTTGTCGCAGACAAAACTTCCTTATTAAAAGCGGAAGCAACATGACACGTACAATCTCCGCCGACCATTTCCAAAGAGGTTCTCAATAAACATTCCAAACCATGTGTTGTCTCACCCAAAGCGCTAGTGACTCATTGGGATGAAATGGGTAGCCTCGGCTCTCGGACCTGTAAGTTGGTAACAGTCAGTTTCTAGACACGTGATTGCTGAACAATTCCAACTTCACAAGTTCAGCGCTGATATATGCATATATAAGCGCTGAGTAGGAGCTTTTGCCTGCTATCCACTCAGAAACGGGCCACAATTTATCCTTACATCCATACCTTTAGTGTTATGCTTTGATGTACAGGTGCAAATACAGGTACACTTCTCAATCTGACTTGAACGAAGAACTTTGTAGTCATGGATAAGACATGTTTTTGAAAGTATTCAGCGGATTCTACATCCAACAACATGATCAATATTAATTCTAGATGTTATTGTAAAGCTTATTATGCAATGTTTGGTTTTCTTTTCTCCAATCTGACCTCCCTTGTCTCCTGTGCTCTAGATCATTAGTACTATAAGAGTCATGAGAATGATCTTCACTTAGGCTAACAGTACAGGATTTCCTGGATTATTGAGTTGAGCAAGAGAATCTGGTCAGATTCACAGGCTACATATAACTACATCAGACACATTTGATTTTAAAATGTGAGAATGTTAACTTCCGTCTAACTTAGCTTCTCAATCTTTGAGAAGTTAAGCGACTTCACAAGTTTTTTATACTTCGAGTCATTTGACGAGTTAGCATGTTCGATCTGTTGCAGTAATCCTTGTTGAGTTGACCTGGAAAGAGTAATACATGTATTTGGATCGGATACTATCTGAAAATCTGATCGACGAGGATCTGCCTTGTCTGTCTATTCTTATAGTCTCCTACTCACCATCCTTACAGATCGTGGAAGTAAAGCCTTGATTCCGCCTCACGCTATGATAACCTCTTGTCCTTGAATAGCGATAGGAGGCCTTCATGGTCACGTGTGATATAGACAAAAGGGCACAAGTACCCTCTTGGGGTCTAGGGGTTTACCATAAGCCCTAAACTTTATCTTTCTAGGACTTCGGGGACATGAAATCCCATGTGTATTTTCAACCTCGCAGCCTTGCTCCAATTCTCTTGTTCCCCGCGTATATATGCAGACAAGTCTAAGCCTTCAGGCGACATCCTTTGTCAAGTCTGTCAGAATCTGTGCCACTAGTAGGCCGCACGAAATCAAGTATGGCTGACATTTATTGTCCGACCGAGAGAGTTATTCCATCTAACAAAAAAGCACCAGCACACGAATGGAATATATGACTGATCCCTTAGGCATTAACTACTTACATTTACATTAATTACACCCTGTACATGTTTGCTCATGTCATGCGCCAACATCCAACGAGACAAGGGTGTCGAGAATACAAAGGCACTGCCGTTGCTATTGTTCAGAGATTTTCAGGAGATACGTAACCATTAAAGGCAATGTACACGCTGTTGTTCTAGGCTCTACATGAAGCTCTAGTGAACGCAGAACCCTACGGTCATCAAAGACTAAAGCGTGAACTATCCGCCGCTTCGCCATTCGAGTAAGTTCCACTCTGAGCAGGTTCCCAATTCACTTCAAAAATACCCGTGAGCAGTGTTTTATTCCAATAAAAAGTATTTACTTTAGGCAATAGATTTGCATGCACTCATTATACTAGATTGTTTATTCATTTATTTTGGAATTCTTTTATGAAACTCGAATTCGGATAGAAAAACTTCGGAATAAACACACTCAACATTCCAATCTCACGTAGGTTTAGAGTTCCTATGAGCATAGTGAGGACCTTTACTATGCACATATAAACCAACGTAAGACAACATAGAAGCTCATGTTCTGTTGTTCAGCATCCTGGAACTCTACGGGGTTTAGATCTCACTTAATTGCTTGACAGCCAAAGCACAGCAACATAACACAAATACATGAACTACAGAGAGACCTCCGTGCCCTGCAGTCTGTCTTCGAAATTAGAGCGGCCGGATAAGAAACATGTTCGTTATCTGACCGTATGAATCATCCAGGCCCAGCCTGGGCTACAGGTAAGTACGATTCGAAAGTTGGACAAGGATAAGAGCAATACTTCAGTACCTTCCGTCTAACTTTGTTCGCTGTCATCCTGCCTCACTGCAATCTATACATTGCCACTGGCTTGAGATTACACCGGACCAGTTCATTGACATATCCATATATACACTAAGAATCATCTGTGGTTTGGTGCTTTGAAATTGAATTCTTTGTGCTACCAGAGGGACGCTGGAGCTCTTGAATAATATTTGCATATGTCTTGTAAGGGCTTTATTTTCATCTACTTGCTTCTCTGTCCTTACATATTTTCAGAGCCTTAGCTTCCATGAAGCTAGCTAACTTCAAATTCTGTGCAATTTCGTGTATGGTATGTGTTTTGATCCCTCACTTCTATTCATGGACTGAGATTTTCAGCCTGGAACCAGGAATATGACGAATAAATGCTCCGCGAGATCGATGATTTGCAGAAGGTCAGGATCGGGTAACAAGACCACATAGGTCCCTTCTCAGTGCGTGAGGAACGAAATCACACGAGACCGTGTTGTCGACATGTTTTTGTAGGTCCATCTCGACAGGAAACCTTCGATTGATATTGACGGGAATTTCTTACCCCAGATCCAGATCGCTGGTCCGATCGACACTCGATAGCGGGAACTTACTGTAAACAATGGAACTCATTTCAACTTTGAGCCTATGGCTGCTTCTCATGATGGTGTTGACATGGGTTGGAATCGCACTTCGAGGAAACCAGACTCGTCGCATGCAAGATTTCACCAGTTTCAATCAGGACAACCGACGGGCTTTTCGCTGGGATTATGAAGGCACCATAGGCTTCCAATATAGCCAGAGTTCGGATACAGCGCCCGATGAACACCTCGCTAGAATATGTTTCCATCATCATCTTGTCGAAAGCTTCTAAGGCATTGAATCTCGATGACTCCACCACTGCATGCTGCTTGCTGGCCAGCAAACAATGGATTTTGCTACCATCGCCCATGCAGTACTTCGCCAGCAGTTTAACGTGCGTATGACAGAATATTTTACTGATCGAGGTCCAGGATTGATTTCTCGGGGAAGAGTTTACGTTTTGTCAGCTTGAAATTTAAACAGATTTTGGCTGCTGCTAGTGCTTCTGTTTCTGACCATAATATTATGCTCATTACATCCTATGTATCTATCTTTATCGATATAAACACTATCTGTAAATATTTACGTACGTGCCCGCTACGTGGTCTGGTTATGTAATTTCCCTTTCTAAATGCTTTCAGATCAAAATCTACATTTTCTCTAGACTAAGAGCCAATTGCATGTCCATCATTCGTCTTAAAAACACTCTCATCGATGAGAAACCGTTTCCTGGATCTCCACTTCGAAGTCTACGGAAGTTATCAAAGCATATAATACAAATTCGGCCAGCTAAAATTTGAAGTACTTTTTGAAAAAATTGAGTAAGGGGTTCACGTTCTTACTTAGACAGAAGTAACATAGATCAAAAGATTGTTTTGTTGGGGGTTAAGTTTCGCCACTATATGCAAGCTACCAAGATTAGTATCCAGTGACATGCATCGACCTGGTTGTAATTTGGTTCAACTTTCAGGAGAAACAGCATCTCAACCTGCTTGCCGAAAGTCCTCTATTCTTACGAGTGCAGAAAACTTCTTCATTTCTTGATAGTTGGGCTTATTGATCTCGTAAGCGATAAACTAAGGAGTTCGAGAATTCTGAGTCTTTCTACTTTTCTGCATAATCTTATGTTATCTTCACTTACAAACTCTGTATATTTAAGATGAGAACATTCCGTCTATGTGAAAAAAACACCAAAATTTGATGTTGAGAGGTTTATGAAAATAAGGTGACGTTAATATATCTTGTTATATATATATACAAAAATTTCAATTTTATTTCTAGCTAAAAATATTACATTGCTTTCAGTAAATGTACTCTTAGATGCTTTGTTATCTTGAAAAGGAATTTCATTTCTTACAGTGAAATAGAAATATGTAAGTAGGTATATTATTATATATACATTGAATTTGAGAATGAGTTTCTTGTTAAGATCTTCATTGTAAAGTTTGTAAATTGAATTTTACAAATCTTAATTTAACCATTTAGACAAAACTGAACAGAAAATCTAGTGCATGATTGCCAAGGGCGCCCCAAAAAAGAATGTCAATTACCACGTCTCAAAAAGGTTTTCAAGTGACTACTTCTTTCATGTGAAATCTTTTTTGTTTATGTCAATGCTCTTGTTTGAGCAATGAAAGCACTTTGGAGCTAATCCCGTTGTGTTTGTGCCGATGCATTCAGTAATATTTGCATTCAGTAATAAGTGCCGAGTCATTCATTCAATAATAATTGCTGAGCCTTAATGTAACATGTCCTTAATGTCTTGTTGTTTTTGAGAGCTATCAAAAAGTTAGTCAAATTTACCCCTCATCCTATTTATCTATGTCTACAAATTGAACATGCTTGTGTGTTCATGATCAGATGTGCTACACTTTAAGTCAGTTGGTGTTAAAGTTTCTGGATGAACATATTGAATATTGCAATGTGATAAAAAGTAAAGAATGATACTTTAATAGACTAAAGTCTATCACTTTGTTTAGTTTACTGAATATTTATGTACAGAACATTAGTTCATCTTATGAACTATCTGGAAATTCCCCGTGTGGAAATATAACAGATGCACAGCTTTGTGAACCTCAAAAGATGGGGATTGGTTTGAATGTGTCTTTCACATCTGTCGATTGATGTTACAATTCAAGCAGAAGAGAGCACAGGAATCTAATTCTTCACTTGCATTAGGTATTCTCCTCACATTTTGGAGTTTTAATTCCATAACTTGAATAAAATGAACACAAACCTCCACGCAGGCATTAAGTCGTTTGGAGATGAGGGAGATCTTTATTCACGCATTAAGATCACACCAGATCAGTGATTTGACAAAGCAAATGACCTGAGTAATTAGACGAGTCTTCACCGATACCTTCAACGATCCTTTTAAGAATCTTCGAGCCAAATCATTCACATTACGGTTGCACGGAAGCCCAAAATGGATATTCAGATCATAAAGCCTACTCTGGACACAAGATATGAATCCGTTTTATTATCATTGTAGAAACATGGCGCAGGAATCACGGTGGTTGGTTTGAGTGGCTGTGCATGTGACCTTTACAGCTCTAAGCATCGATCATATCCGACCGGATATGAACGTACTTCCTGCAGTGTCTTGTGCACTGCACAGCTTCCCCACGGTACTTTCCACTAGCGTAGATACCATGATCTCCGTCATGTGCAGAGCTACGAAACCCCTGTCAAGCCCTGCTGCTTCGATCGACATTTGCAATCGAGCCAACTTAGTGCTGCCGGTGTAATAGGACCTACATGTTCTAGTATTCAACAACATTTTCAAGCTGCTTACAGCAGCGCTGAACACTACTTAAAGTGTAGAGCCTGCAGAACAGGCACCGTAACGCTGCAGAAGCTCTAAAAGGTGAATTATCTTAGCAAAGAGTGCGTGAGAGTCATTGCTCGAAACGCACTGTCTCCACAAGTCTCCCTCGGTCTTAAAGGATGAACATCTCTTTCTTCGCAGTTTGAAGGTTCCTGCCAGGCACAGGAAAATGTCAGACATGCTGCATCAAAACCAAACAGTCGAACGGCATTGTCCAAGCAAATGACAAGGGCCTGAATAAGATGTAAAGTGACAGTGCATGCTGTGTCAAGTGCGTGAATCTTCCGGACTGTGAGTGATGCACTTACCGACTAGTCCAATCAGAAAAATTGAGCTTGGTTACAGATACTATGTATCTGTATCCTCCTCAGTTTGCCATTCCATCGCAAACGTCGTATCTAGATCATCAAATGACGGGTCGAAGTCTGACGAGTAGTCTTTAGCCATTTCACTTTCGATATCAAAATAGTCCAAGTTGCCGTTCTGAACATTGGAATCTTGACTGAAATCAGGTATCCGAGTGAAAGAAGGGTCAAACTCCGATGCGACATCATCTTCAATATCCGAATCCATGGAGAAGATAAACCCATTGGCGCTGAATTGCATGAACACCAACAGGCTCAATAGGACGATAAGAGACGCCACCTGCACAACATCGCTTTTTCTAATCTTCCTCCTCATCCTCGAGAAACGTATTTCTGCAGTTGCCATATCTGAAGTTAGACTGGACGCTAGCAAAGTCACTGACAGGTTCTGAACAGTTAAGACATGCGTCAAGCTTTGATACTTTCTGCCACACAGCAACGTAAAGCGCGCGAGGACTTACGATTCGAGATCGATCTGGATCCAGCCGATGCGAAAACTTGGAATTCGAGCTGAGGCTCTGATCAGACAGCTTGGACAAGCTTACAAACTGCGATTTGCATGATCAATTCATCCTCAGAAACCTGTTGTCAAATATTGTGTCACATGAGTTATCCACCGAAGATAAATCAGCAGCAGCAGATACTTCACAGAGGTCGCCCTGACGAGCCAGCTAGATCTATCTGCGTCGAAGATAGTGCCAAAACATGTAACAGATGCTGCAGTTGCCAGGTCAAAGGAGCTGCTGCGTCAATTGTTGAGGCTGTTCCGTTCCATCCACAAACAATCCAGTCGAGTGAACAGGCTTCGAATCTTTGCCCGAAAGCCCAAGTCCCCGACGAGATAATTGACACAGAAACATGAACTTGTTCTCGCTGAACGGAAGTCGATCCCAGCTCCTGCCCGCCCCACTGACCTTCGAAACTTGAGCAAACCAAATTCCGGAAGAGCGTGAGGGCGAGGAGGAAGACGCACCGAGTTCACAACAGCAGAATGATCTGCGGCTACCACTGCAGCCTTACTTATAGACTGCAGGCATGAGGCTGACGCTTGAGAGCCGGTCGGCAGCTTCAAAGGTGTTCCCCTCGTTGAAACACCTTCGAAATGAAAGTCGTTAAGCGTGCCGGTTGATCGTACTTCTGTTTTGAATTCTGAGACCATCCATAGCTCCCCAACGGTTGTGCTTGAGTGACGCCGTCGTCGCCACCGCGTACGACTGAATCGTCTGTCAACGAGCCGATCGCTTCTCACGTCCAGACGAAAACTCCAAACTTCGCAAAGAGAACTTCAGATCGGACTTGGAACATGACGCACTTCTCAAGTCTTGCCATTTTGTTGTGATAGAGACCGTCCGGAGGTCGATTGTCGATGAAGGAGCATAATTCCGATCAGTCTGATCTGATGCTACGTGGATCGGTGTCTGAAAAAAGCCTTGAGCGTTTCTGTATGTAGATGGATTGATTGCAGAGAGGAGTCACTGACAGAATCAACGAACTGAGCAATTCATGCTGACTGCGAGTCAGAACAAACTTCGACGATCTCGATTAGACAGTGTTGAGTTCTTTTGTCAAAATGGATCACATTTTCCATTATTTTCATATCTCTAGCGGTAACTTCAAGAGAACAAGGTATTGGTACATGCCAATATCGTCGCGTCAAGAATGGTCTGGTGATACCAAACTTTGATATTATATAAAATACTGTTATAGGGGCTGGACTTTGTAGTAAAAACCTATGAACAAAGTCAAATCATAACATAAACCTGAGGACTGAAGTTATACTTCCTATAATGAATTTTCGACGAAGGATTTTATTGTTATAATGGTCGGGTAAACTTTCAACGTGTTATGCTTCATAAGTCTAGAACAGAAGTAAACCATGAATGTTCCATCTTCTTATTATATTAACAAAACATGGTATCTATTACATAGAAAACTCCTCGTTGATACTGAAGAGACGCAACTATGAATTTTAAGCTTAATAGGATACAAATGAGTTAGAATAAGCCAGTGATTTTTGAGCTGCACAAGTATATCTCTGAAGAGGAGGCTGCACTAATTATGCATAACATGAAACGACAGTGTTTGGTGAAGACATTCGCTAGCTTCTTGGAGAACAACTTGAGAAGTTCAGTTGAATCTAGAATGGGACAACTGGAAGCGAAGTCTATAATTCAAATATGTCAAAATTAAAAGTTTAAAGAATTTTACATCTTAAGATAGTAGTAATTTGGTTACTGGTTTTTTTATTTCTTCTTTTTTAAGTCGGACTGTCTAACGAACAGATTCTGCTTGCTCTCTTTTTATTCAGTCTTCGACTAATAGTAATCTTCACGTGAGTCAGATGCTTTATTACAAGTTTGATGGTGGAGGGCCGCGCGAACGCGAGCCCTCCTCTGCCACAAATGATGACGTGCAATGTCCCCTTGAGGAATTGCTAGAATTCGCCCAACCGAAGTGCAATGGCTCGGCTCATTCTGGGTCATTGCCCTTCCGGATCGGCAATGGACCCCGTCCAGGTAAGTATGAAGGCAACACCTTCTGGGAAAAATATGAATCGTTGGCAATGGACCCCGTCCAGGTAAGTATGAAGGCAACACCTTCTGGGAAAAATATGAATCGTTGTCGTTACAATTTTCTTAGTTAAGCGTATGGGTTTGCGCTTTCGATGCTAGACAGCAGCTTCAAATGCTTGTAAGTGTGCCTGGACTGTGGGTTGTGGGTGCGACAATCATTAGAAAGATCAATCAAAATGACCCTTCGATTTCGTATTTGACCTCACGTGGCAAGACAGAGGGTACTTCCGTGTCGAGTTGAAGACGAACCTCCACTCCCAAGCAACGCACTCCGATTTACAATTAGTTTAAGAGATTGCCAAATTATTTTTAAAAATTTACATTTAGGCTTGAAAAGATTTGTAGTTTGAGATTGTGATTATAAATTGACAATCTAACACACTTGAAATCGCACTTTTTTAATTTAAATATTGAATATCAATATTTATGTTGTGATGATTTAATTACATTCACATGAGCTTATTATCTTACATCTTTAACTTCTATTTTTACATTAAATCGTGTGATTGATCTTGAATCATTGTTCTTTAGATATTATTTTATTTGCTAAATTAATTCCAAATTTTATTTTCATGTATTTTTTAATTAAAAACTTAGATATTTATGTGTGTATTTGTTTAAGGATTGTAATAGTTATATAATTTAGTTGTCATAATTGCAACTCTTTAATATGAAAGAATGATGACTTGAGAGGTTTTTTCTATAATGAGCAAATATGTTTTCTTTTAGTACGTGATGTATCTACGAAATAATTACAACTTACATAGTTTTATAAAAGTTTCACACTATCGATTAAACGATCAATTTGGAACATTTCAATATAAAATATCTTAAAATACACTTAAAATATAAAATGTTATAAGCTCACAGATGAAGCCCAAAAAATATTGGTTCAGTATACAGAAAATTTAATAACATAGTTTCTACATTTTTTAAAAATTAAATTTAATGTATGATATTCTCAATATATATACATCATGTGGCTTAGGGATTTTGATCACGATGAAATTATATACATATCTCATAAGCAACATGATTTGTAGTGTAAAAATCAAACTTGATGTATTGTGTTGGATGACGTATTTAAGTACGAAGTACACATGCAAGTTAGAATTAAAGTAAAAAAATCTTTCTTGGTGTAGAATAGAGTCTAGTATTCATCCATGAAAAAAATTTTAAAGAGACGAAAAAGAAAAAAGACTTTTGATTCTAAAATCATTTTCATCACATTAGACAAATGAATTCTAGATCACAACTTCATGCGTGGATTATATTTGATATTCGTATATCCAATAGAATAAAGAATTTAAAATTTAATGTCAAATAGGTAGACCTCATAAATACTATTACATATATTCATCAATAGTATACAAATTTGTCATTCTGATTGCATAAATTCTAGTCGCAACAAAATAATATGAATGTGAAGTCAACTTTTTTTTCTATTTTTTAATAATAAATGCTTAGTATATCCTACGGTTCTTATTTTGTAGAATAAAAATTTTTAAATATGAGGATAATTTTAAAAATATTACTCAACTTTGGTCCAAACTTACGAATCAAAAAATAAGGCGAGAGGTAACGTCACTATTACACACCACCTCTCTAAAAAATTAAAGCAAAGTTCCACGCAACTAGGTCTGGTTAAGTTTACTAAAGTCGAGTGAACATATCATGGTTTCAGTATATCATATTCGAGGAACCCTGTGATGGAGTGGCGTGGATATAAACATTTTTGTGGATTGAAAGTAACAATGGAATATTTTTCAATATATGTAAATCCAAAATCAATTGAATGTTGTATCTAAATTCTTCGTTTTATAATTAGTATGAATTTTGAAAGAAAAAATTTTAATTTTTAGAGATAAACCCAAATAATTTTCTAGTTTATAAGTATCACTTTTGAAAAAAGAAATTAATCCTTGGATTTTTCTTTCGACAGAAAATCTTGGTTTGTAAAAAAATTACAAGAAAATATCAAATGTAAAAGTCAAAATCTTCTATTTGATCTTATTCAACATTATAAAATTACGAGTAATTTTTTTGAATCAGAAAAAATAATACATATAATATATAAATTATAAAATTACATTTGCATATACTTTTTCATTATAAATAATTAAAAAAAATAATTTTTTTCCTAATAGCATTAGAATTATGATATTAAAATATTTTTTTGAAAAAAAGAGGAATATATACCTTTTCAATGAAAGGCAATATCGATGAAACTTTTGCAGTTTTTCCTTCATCATTAATAGAACAATTCAAAGCTGGAATCTAACAGGTTGATTTTATATAATTAATAGATAATAATCATCCCTTAGTTTCAAAACATTGATGTGGTCATTAAGATAAAACATGTGCTTTTCATATAGCCTGGCCTCGAGAATTTAATACTCGTTTTCAGCCTTCAATCCTGATTCATTCAGACTCACAGGCACGTAGTGCGCGGCTGCTAGAGGTTTACGCTCTTTAATCTTGAGAAAAATTTTCAGACAAGATGTCATTTAAGAATTAATTTTCAACTTGGAATTTGATAATTCAACTCAAAAAACTAATACAATCGCTTGTGACACTCTTATTATAACTGAAACATGTTTGAAAACAAAGTCAGATTTCATCTCATAGAAAACTAACAGTTGTCTGAGAGTGATTACAAAAATAATTTATTTGAGACAACATTGCAAATATTATATAGTCGAAATATCAAGAACAAAGAATAGTCTAAATTTTTGTGAGGTATCTAATTGATGGTACCACATCAAAACCCAAACTGCTGGATGTGATCCATCAAATTTTGTTTCACCCGATAGATACCACCTACAGTGTACTATCGCCTAATTCTAATATATATTATTCTACACATATGACACAACTTTTAGTCAAGGCTCCGGGTAAAACCCGAGTTCGGATTGAATTGGGTCCTAGTTCGGGTAGAGGGATGTACTTGATCCGAAACCTAGAGTGTAAAGTCCAAGAATTAGAGAGTGACAACCATGCGACCATGAAATCGATATGTGTGAGGAAGGAAGATCTCGACAGGTACATATCAGGAGGTTGAGTCACTCTTTCTCAGTGGTTTTGTCTCTCTAAGATGGTTCGAGACTAGCAACGAGCTAAAAGTCCATTCTGATCTATCTGGAGAAATTTGACTTGAAGAACTTGATGGTGACAGCCACCATCATCATCACATTGTGATCTTTAATATCTTCCGATAGTTTTGAAGTATTTTGATGATCAGATCTTTGTCATCTAGCCCACTTGAGACCCGGTTCGGCCGAGATACTCGTCAAGACTAACGGGCACTCATCCATTTGCCTTCACCCACCAAATCTGAGAACCACCGGCAGGAAGAATGCATAATCTTCAGCCGAGTGATCAACACACGACAAAGCACAACCGCCCG